CCATCCGCGGGGCCCAGCTTCCAGGCGCGAGGGAGATTGCCCCGTGGACCTTCCAGAAACAATTCCTTTGCCCCCCCGTCCCCCTGAGCGATCCCCATGGAGTCCCGTGTCGCGCTGCGTCGTCGTCGCCGCCGCCGCCGCCGCCGCCGTCGTCGTCGTGCACCCACCGACCCCTGAAGCACCCAGGCTTTCTTGCCTTCGGGGGCCCCCCTCGTGGCCGCGGCCGGGCGCGACGACAGAGGCTGGTGCCTTTTGACTCTGGGAAGGGTCCTGGGGCCCGTTTGGGATGGATTCTGGGTCATGGGGCGCATGACGACGGCGACGACGACGTCGCCGCCGCCGCCGCCGTCGTCGTCGCCGCCGCCGCCTTCGTCGTGGCGCGCTCCCCGTCCCCTCGAGCACCGAGACTTTCTGGCCTTCGGGGGCCCCCCTCGTCGCCGCGGCCCGGCGCGTCGACAGAGGCTGGTGCCTTTTGACTCTGGGAAGGGTCCCGGGGGCCCGTTTGGGACGGATTCTGGGTCATGGGGCGAATTCTGGGTCATGGAGCGCATGACGACGGCGACGACGCCGTCGCCGCCGCCGCCGTCGTCGTCGCCGCCGCCGCCCTCGTCGCGGTGCACCCCCCGACCCCTGAAGCACCCAGGCTTTCTGGCCTTTGGGGGCCCCCCTCGTCGCCGCGGCCGGGCGCGGCGACAGAGGCGCATGGGACGGACGGTCGCATGGCGACGGCGACGACGCCGTCGCCGCCGCCGCCGTCGTCGTCGCCGCCGCCGCCCTCGTCGCGGTGCACCCCCCGACCCCTGAAGCACCCAGGCTTTCTGGCCTTTGGGGGCCCCCCTCGTCGCCGCGGCCGGGCGCGGCGACAGAGGCTGGTGCCTTTTGACTCTGGGAAGGGTCCTGGGGCCCGTTTGGGACGGATTCTGGGTCATGGGGCGAATTCTGGGTCATGGAGCGCATGACGACGGCGACGACGCCGTCGCCGCCGCCGCCGTCGTCGTCGCCGCCTTCGTCGTGGCGCGCTCCCCGTCCCCTCGAGCACCCAGGCTTTCTGGCATTCGGGGGCCCCCCTCGTCGCCGCGGCTGGGGCGCGGCGACAGAGACTGGCTTGACTTCGGGAAGGGGCCTGGGGCCCGCTTGGGACGGATTCTTGGGCCGTCTTGGGCCGTTTTGCGCTGTTTTGGATTCCTCGGATCCGATTTCGGCACTGCCATCTTGCGCCATCTGGGGCCATCCTGTGTTTTTTCGGACTTCGTCGGCGCGGGCCGCTGCAGCGCCCAGGCCGCGGCCCCGCGCCCTCGAGTTTGGCTTTGCCGCCGCCGCCGACGCAGCCATGTCGCGGCTCGAGGAGGCCGCGGTGGGGGCGGCCGCCCCGCCCCCGCCTGAGCCTGCCGCGCCCGCGAGCGAGGCCCCCCCGCCGCGGAAAAAACGGCGGGGCACCGACAAGAGGGCGAACCCGCGGAAGCCGTCCAGCGGGACCTCTGGGCACAAGAATGCCCAGAGGGACCGCGACGCGGCCCGGCAGGAGCGGGACGCTGCGCTGGGGCGCGCGCGGGCCGCAGAGGCCGCGGAGACCGCTGCGCGGGCCGCGGAGGCCAGCGCGCTCCAGCGTGCCGAGCTCGCCGAGAACGCCTGCCGGGACGCACTCTCGCGCGCGGAGCGCGCCGAGAAGGCTTTGGAGGCGGCGCGCCTCGACGCGGCAGCCGAGGAGAGGCACTGGAAGGCATGGCTGGCCATCCACGATGCCCCGCCGCCTCGGCGCGCGTCGGGCACGGGGCGCCCGCGCTGGCCCCCCGAGGTGCAGAGGGCCGCCGCGACGCAGGCGGCGCCGCCAGGTCGCCCTTCGACGCCGCCGCGGCGCGGGCGCTGAGGACCTGGCGGTTTTCCCCAAACCTCCTTGCCACACCTGTGGGCCTGTGCGACCTGTGAACCCTTAGCGGTGGTCGCTTCACTTTCCAAGTTCACATGGGTTCTGGCGCGTGTGTGTCTGTGTGCGTTGTGTGTGTTGTGTGTGTGCGTGTATGCGCGTGCGTGTGCGTGTGAGTGTGCGTGTGTGTGTGTGCGTGTGTGTGTATGTGTGTGCGTGTGTGTGTGTGTGTGTGTGTGTGTGTGTGTGTGTGCGTGCGTGCGTGCGTGTGTGTGTGTGTGTGCGCGCGTGCGTGCGTGCGTGTGTGCGTGCGTGCGTGCGTCCTACCGAGGGCCGCGTGGGGCGCCCCGCGTTATCAGCAATAGAAAAGTTGCCATGTTGGCTTGGGAAATCAAAGTGAACCCTTAGTGGTTGCCGATTCGATTTCGAAGTTAACATAGGTTCTGGTGCATGTGTTCTAACAAACAGCCGTATACAACAACCCTTCGCGCGCGCCCGCGCCGCCGCTGCGCGCGGCCCCCCTTCGCCGCCGCGCGCGCGGCGGCGCGTGCGCGTGGGGCGCCCCGCGTTATCAGCAATAGAAAAGTTGCCATGTTGGCCTGGGAAATGAAAGTGAACCCTTAGTGGTTGCCGATTGGATTTCGAAGTTAACATGGGTTTTGGTGCATGTGTTCTACAACAGCGTATACAACAAGCCCTCGCGCGCGCCCGCGCCGCCGCGCGCGCGGCGGCGCCGCCGCGCGCGCGGCGGCGCGTGCGCGTGGGGGGCACCGCGTTATCAGCAATAGAAAAGTTGCCATGTTGGCCTGGGAAATGAAAGTGAACCCTTAGTGGTTGCCGATTGGATTTCGAAGTTAACATGGGTTTTGGTGCATGTGTTCTACAACAGCGTATACAACAAGCCCTCGCGCGCGCCCGCGCCGCCGCGCGCGCGGCGGCGCCGCCGCGCGCGCGGCGGCGCGTGCGCGTGGGGGGCACCGCGTTATCAGCAATAGAAAAGTTGCCATGTTGGCCTGGGAATGAAAGTGAACCCTTAGTGGTTGCCGATTGGATTTCGAAGTTAACATGGGTTTTGGTGCATGTGTTCTACAACAGCGTATACAACAGCCCTCGCGCGCGCCCGCGCCGCCGCGCGCGCGGCGGCGCCGCCGCGCGCGCGGCGGCGCGTGCGCGTGGGGGGCACCGCGTTATCAGCAATAGAAAAGTTGCCATGTTGGCCTGGGAAATCAAAGTGAACCCTTAGTGGTCGCCGATTCGATTTCGAAGTTAACATGGGTTTGGGTGCATGTGTTCTACAACAGCGTATACAACAACTCCTCGCGCGCGCGCGCGCCGCCGCGCGCGCGGCGGCGCGTGCGCGCGTGCGCGTGCGGTTTTCTGTACTTAACTCAAGCTGTAGGGAGGCCACAGGGCTGGTAATCACAGACATCGCTTCGGAGACATCAGGCACGCTCGCTGGAGCAGCTCAGCTCTCTAGAGCTAGCGTTAGTGTTTGTTTACCTCCGGGAATCAACCTCACTTTTACACTCGAAAATATAGAACGTCATGAGTTACGAACATACGTCGTATAGCTTCCTGGTGCGATTCCGGGGGGGAGCTCTACGAGGTCCCCGGCGGTAGCCAGGTTGACGGTTTACCGCCGGCGCCAGGAGGCAGGAGGGCGCCCGAATGGGGGTTTGTGATGCAGCGCGGCCACGTGCATCCCACTGGGCACGCGCAGCCCGCGGGACAGGCACGTGCAGCCGAGCAGCCCTGATGGATTGTTCTCAGCGGGATTTCGCGCCAGTATGCCACATGTGCCCCTTCGTCCTCACTTCCATTCCCTGTCCCCATGTCACCTTCCCCGTGCCCCGTTCCTCCTCCCCGCCCCCTTTCCTTTCCCTCCCCCCGCCCTTCTTCCCCATCCCCCCTCCGGGAAACACAGAAAACCGTTAAAGCAAGATACGCAGCCCTGCCGCACGCCTGTGTTCGACCTGGAGAGGGGGACCCCATGAGAATGGGAAACAGATTTATCAACGAGGGGGAGAGGAACGAGGGGGGGCCCTGGGGGGGAACGGGTTTGGCTCCGCCCCAGAGGCCCACAAAAGAAGGATCACCTCCGAAAGCCTCCTCCTCCTCCTCGTTCACCACTTCCCCTTCCTCCTCCTCCGTCCTCCTCCTCCTCTTCCTCCGTCCGGCGGTGCAGTCCTCTCCTTGAGGCTGTACCCGGGGTGTCGGCCTCAGGGTACGGCCCCAGCGCAGCTTCCACGTCGAGGCGGATGCCGCCCCTGCGGGGGGAGTGGTTCTGTGCAGGAGTGTCGGCCTCAGGGTACGGCTCCACGTGGTGTCGGCCTCAGGGTACGGCCACGCCCAGTCCTCCGTGGGGGAGGCTGGGCACGGGGTGTGCGGCCTCTGGGTACGGCCCCAGCGCAGCTTCCACGTCGAGGCGGATGCCGCTCCTGCGGGGGGAGTGGTTCTGTGCAGGAGTGTCGGCCTCAGGGTACGGCTCCTCCTCCTCCTCGTTCACCCTCCTCCTCCTCCTCCTCCTCCTCCTCCTCCTTCTCCTCCTCCTCTTCCGTCCTCCTCCTCCTCCTCCTCCTCCTCCTCCTCCTGCTCCTCCTCGTTCACCACCTCCCCCTCCCCCTCCTCCGTCCTCCTCCTCCTCCTCCTCCGTCCTCCTCCTCCTCCTCCATGGGAGTGGGAAGCGGATTTATCAATGAGGGGAGGAGAAACGGGCCCTGGGGAGTGTTCCTTCTTCCCCTACCTTGCCCAATCGTGAGCGCTATCGCGATTGGGACACAGCTGAAGCTTTACAGACTTCACGCTCAGCTGTTTGACAAAATTGAGGATTAGAGGAGTAAAAGGGTGACGGGATCTTTTCCTCTGTTCCCGAGACCTACCCTCACGGGCGGGATTCGCGACGGGGGGTGTGAATAGAACCCGTATAATACCCTCATACATACTCTTTATCCTCATCTCTCCTGCGCCTGGCCGTTTGGGTTCAGGTATTGGAATATTGGATACGATCGATATGACCATTGATCGTGCAGGAGGAAAAAATATCCATCTTTCCCTCCTTTCCTCTACCAACGGATCAGAGGTTTTGTACCCTTGTACTTCAACCCCATACACATCCTCCTCCTCCCTCTCCTGGCAGGACTTGAAGCTCATAACGCAGGTGTTCGAGAACGTCACCAACGGCTTCTGCCCCGACTCCCATGGCGGGGACGGCGGGACGAACAGCTACGCGCTCCTGCTCGAGCTCACCGCTACTTCCTCCTCCTCCTCCTCCTCATATCTCCTCCTCCCGCTACCTCCTCCTCCTACCTCCTCCTCTTACCTCCTCCTACCTCCTCCTCCTACCTCCTCCTCTGGCCTCCTCCTACCTCCTACCTCCTCCTCCTCCTCGTCCTCGTCCTCGTCCTTCCACCCCTGCTCCCCTCCTCCTCCTTCCTCCTCCTCCTCATCCTTCCTCCTCCTCCTCCCTCCTTCCTCCCTCCTCCTTCATCCTCCCCCTGCTCCCCCCTCTCCCTCCTACCTCCTCCCTCCTCCCCCCTTCTCCTCTTCTGCTCATCATCTCCCTCTGCCCGTCGTCGTCGTCGTGGTCGTCGTCGACCTTCCCCTGAGGACCCTGATTGGTTCACAGCGGATGGTGGCGCGGAGACCTTCGTGCACAATGGCCATTCTGAGGCAGAGGTCATGAATGAGATGTTGTCTGGCACAGGGAAGGACATCGACTTGGGGGTCGTCTTGGTCCGCTTCGATGGTCGTCGTGCAGGTCGTGGCTTTCAGTTTTTCTTGGAGCATCGGTCCATGGACGCGACCGAAGGGCTCATCTTTGGGATCATGCATACCGCCAGATACAACTACATCGGTGGCTTGGACGCGTATTGGATCAACTACGTCAAGCCGCACTTCCATTACATGGACCATGTGTGGGTGAACCCCGCCTACTTCGAGAAGCGCTCCTCCTAGTCCTCCTCTCTCCTCCTCCCTACTCCACCCTATCTTTCCCCCTCCCTCCTCTCCCCTGCTCCCTCCACCTCATCCCTTTTTCTCCTTCCCCCATCCTTCCTCCCCCTGTTCCCTCTTCCTCGTCCTCCTCTTTCTCCGACTACCGCGGCGACGG